ACACATCCCCACGAAGCATCCTCATCTCTGCTACACCCATTTTGTGTAAGTGTTGATGTTTCACCGCCCAACATTCTGTGCCATACAACATCGCTGGCCTTATTGCCGTCTTATAAAATTTTCCCTTGAGCTTCAGTGGCCTACGACGGTCACACAACATGCTGGATGCACTCTTACACTTCATCCATCCAGCTCGTATTCTATGGTTGAGATCTCCNTATGGGAAATGACCAAAAATACCCCTTTCTGTCAAGATTTTTTGGTTGCTGCGTTCAAGGCGAAGAAAAGAAATCTACGAATACTTTCCAAAAAAGTTTGGACAACTCTTTCATTTTTTGTACTGTCTTATTCTTGCTTTTAATTTCTTCACTTGTCACTTGAAACTAAGGAAGTACGAATTCATTTTTTTTTTTCTAAAAAACTTCGTCACTGCAATCTACTTTTCCAGAAACGAAAAAAATTCACAGAGGCATTTTAGCATCCTCTTAGTCACCATCTTCGTGCTTTACGATCAAGATGAAACATAAAGAATGCTTTTAGATTGGGGAAAACGCTTTGCGGGATTGCGAGAGAGAAAAATAGAACGAGCGGGGAGAAGAGATGGAGGGTCGGTGAATGGAGAGAGAGATCATAGTCTTCCTTGTTTGTTTGTTTGTTTGTTTGTTTTTTTTTTTTTACTTTTTAAGTTTTTAAATATAAAAACAAAATTGTTTTTTGTTATAATATTTTTAAGGGAAGTGTTGTTGGTACTCTCTAAAAAACTCATTTTACACTCCTCACAACTGTTTTTTTTTTCCTAATATAAAAAGTTTGGAGTGTAGAATGAGATTTTTGAAATCCTAATAACAATTCCCTATTTTTAATTTGCACTTTAATATTTAATTAGAGTTGTGCGACCCAGTTATGTATCATATCATCATATAAAAAAAAAGTTTTTATAAAATCGTGACAGAATGAACACATTGATTTGCAACAACTATTTTCAAACGTCACATTTATCAAATTTTTCAATTTCAAGGAACATCTTAATTGGGTGGGTCAATTTCAGGGATTATTTGTGATAAAAACTAGTATGCAAGTTCTTTTAGGTATGAAACTTGTGGAGAGAACGCGATGCCCTGGAAATAATTTATTCATCTCTGGGTGAATCGTACCCGTCAAAGAAGTTGTGAGATGCATCCAAATTGCTATCTTATGTGTGCAATAGTATGCCACTGAAAGGCCAACAATGTCGGCGGTTGTTTGCATGCTAGTTAATGAAGCAGCGGCCCTTTCACCAAAACAACCATCATGTTATTGCAGAGGAGACCCATCACCCAGTACTGAAGGAGAAAATTCCGCAAATGACGTGTGACACATTCACAATGTCTATCGATCTACTTGATACAACTGGGGTGGTCAGAATTAATGAAGTGGAAATTTCAAACTGCGGTGTATAATTGGGAGTCGCAGGTGAGTTGACTGTTGCATCAATGACTGGAAATTGCGGGTAGGTTCACGTTGCATCAATGACAAAAATAACAACAACAACAACAACAAAGCCTTTTCCCACTAAGTGGGGTCGGCTATATGAATCCTAGAACGCCATTGCGCTCGGTTTTGTGTCATGTCCTCCGTTAGATCCAAGTACTCTAAGCCTTTTCTTAGAGTCTCTTCCAAAGTTTTCCTAGGTCTTCCTCTACCCCTTCGGCCCTGAACCTCTGTCCCGTAGTCACATCTTCGAACCGGAGCGTCAGTCGGCCTTCTTTGCACATGTCCAAATCACCGAAACCGATTTCTCTCATCTTTCCTTCAATTTCGGCTACTCCTACTTTACCTCGGATATCCTCATTCTCAATCTTATCCTTTCTCGTGTGCCCACACATCCCACGAAGCATCCTCATCTCTGCTACACCCATTTTGTGTAAGTGTTGATGTTTCACCGCCCAACATTCTGTGCCATACAACATCGCTGGCCTTATTGCCGTCTTATAAAATTTTCCCTTGAGCTTCAGTGGCCTACGACGGTCACACACAACATGCTGGATGCACTCTTACACTTCATCCATCCAGCTCGTATTCTATGGTTGAGATCTCCATCTAATTCTCCGTTCTCTTGTAAGATAGATCCTAGGTAGCGAAAACGGTCGCTTTTTGTGATCTTCGCTAAATTGCTCCGGTCATTAGTGTGGATAAGTATATAAATGGATAGAGATAGGAAAGCAAACACAAGATGTACGTGGTTCACCCAGATTGGCTACGTCCACGGAATAGAAGAGTTCTCATTAATTGTGAAGGGTTTACACACAAGTACATAGGTTCAAGCTCTCCTTTAGTGAGTACAAGTGAATGATTTAGTACAAATGACATTAGAGTACAAATGACATTAGGAAATATTGTGGGAGAATGATCTCGTAATCACGAAACTTCTAAGTATCGGAGTGTGGTATCATCTTGACTTGCCTTATCTGTCTCATAGGTAGATGTGGCAGCTTCTCTGGAAGTACTTTTCCTTCATCCAGGGGTGGTATCTTTAACTGGTGGAGATGCACAAGGTAATGTATCAATTTCACTTGAAGCTTACTTGTAGTTTCAGGCTTGGTCAAGCACGATACAAACCATGTAGTAGGAGTCCCCCAAGTCGCCGAGCTAGGGGATTTGCTGAAAGAGGTGACAGACAAGGTAAGCAATCAGAGCTCCGGCTGATTGTTCACCTTCTCCCCATCTTGCAGCAGCATGAAGGATAAAGAGAAGAAAAATGAGAAGAGATGATATGGGATACTTTTGCTTTTGAAGAAGTAACTTTCCACAGGCTTATTCTTGAACTGAGCTGGAGGGTTTTCTGGTTTCCTCCAGAGTATAAGGCCGACTGAAGAATTTGAGGGTCAAAACAAGTCCATCAAATCTAGAGTACGTTCGACCTTGCTGATATGGGATACTTTTGCTTTTGACAGAGTAATGGATGGATCGGCACGTGTGCTGTTACGCTTGTCTCCACATGCTTCCTTGTATCCTTCGCACTTGCCCTATCTGTTCCTCAAGCAGATGCGGTATCTTCCCTGGCAAACATAAGATGTTGAAGATGAGTACTCGAGAGCAATGCCAGGTAAGTAATCAGGTAAGGGGTTCCAGGCTGTCAGTTCCTGGCTGGGAGCTTGATTTCAAGTGCTGACTGATTGCTCTCTTTCTCCTTGTCTTGCAGGTAAAAACAAGGCCAAAGGAAAAGACAGGGAAAAAGCATGATATGGGATACTCTTGCTTTTAACCCTGATGATATGAGATATTCTTGCTCTAGTATAGCTTGTTTGCAAAGGTATTATCGGGGGGAAAGAAAGCTGAATATTTCGAAAGGCTTCGTTGGGAGTGCCCTCTCAGATATGAGGAAGGGTTGAGCATTTTTGCAGGTCTGCCTGTCCGTTGGGGATGGAGGTCGACACATATATAGGAGTCTCCCTAACAACAAGTAGTAATGCTATTCCTTTACCTTGCTTGGTCATAGCACGGTAGTGGGAGCTGCCAGCTTCACATGTTTTAACTCTGTCAGAGCACTTTGAAAAAGTGGTATGTGGTATCTGGCTCTCGAGATTCGGAGAACGATGCTTCTTCGATTTTTGAGAAAGCAATCATGGTGGGGGTCTGGCTCTCGAGATTCGGGGAGCAGTGTCTCTCTTCGATTTTTGAGAAAGTAATCATGTTGGGAGTCTGGCTCTCGAGATTCGGAAGACGGTGCCTCTTCGATTTTGGAGTAAGCAATCTTGTTGGGAGTGTTTTTCTCGGATGTGAGTAAAGGTTGGGCATGTTTGCTAGTCTACCTTGCCACGAAGCACGGAGGTTGACACACAGGGACTTTCCAATTATCCAGCAGTGGTACTGTTCCTTTACCCTTGTGGGTAATAATATGGTAGCTAGACCTTCAAAATTTATGTGTCTAAACTTTGTTAGTGCTGTTTCTTTGCTATTCTTTTACCTTTCTTGGTCAGAGCGATGTAGTGGGAGCTGCAAGCTTCACGTGCTCAACTTTGGCAGAGACTTTGACAAAGTTATCTGTGGTACCCATGAGCTATTGTTGCGTGTGGGAAGTGGGTGATTGAACAGTAAGATTCATGTGCTTTCTACTTTACCAGAAGTCTTCGACAGAATGCCCATAATTTCCGCAAAGCTAAGTGTGCGTGTGACAGGTGCTGACAAGGCTAGAAAAGAAGGTGCCTCTTCGATTTCTGAGATCGGCCCTCGTGGTCTCTGAGCAGCCCAACTTTTGAGAAAGCGAGCGCCTCTTCGATTGATTCGGAGAAACGATGCCTCTTCGATTTTTGAGAAAGCAATCATGCTGGGGGTCTGGCTCTCGAGATTCGGGGAGCAGTGTCTCTTCGATTTTTGAGAAAGTAATCATGTTGGGAGTCTGGCTCTCGAGATTCGGAGGGCGGTGCCTCTTCGATTTTGGAGCAAGCAATCTTGTTGGGAGTGTTTTCTCGAATGTGAGTAAAGGTTGGGCATGTTTGCTAGTCTACCTTGCCACGAAGCACAGAGGTTGACACACAGGGACTTTCCAATTATCCAGCAATGGTACTGTTCCTTTACCCTCTCTTCGATTTTTGAGAAAGTAGTCATGTTGGGAGTCTGGCTCTCGAGATTCGGAGGACGGTGCCTCTTCGATTTTGGAGCAAGCAATCTTATTGGGAGTGTTTTCTCGAATGTGAATAAAGGTTGGGCATGTTTGCTAGTCTACCTTGCCACGAGGCACAGAGGTTGACACACAGGGACTTTCCAATTATCCAACAGTGGTACTGTTCCTTTACCCTTGTGGGTAATAATATGGTAGCTAGACCTTCAAAATTTATGGGTCTAAACTTTGTTAGTGCTGTTTCTTTGCTATTCTTTTACCCTTCTTGGTCAGAGCGATGTAGTGGGAGCTGCAAGCTTCACGTGCTCAACTTTGGCAGAGAACTTTGGCAAAGTTATCTGTGGTACCCATGGCAAACTTACAAGATTACTTAATCAATATATTAATATATTTAGTAAGCAATCAGTAGTGCTTCGCAAACCCTTGTTCTGCAATAATGGATTTTGTGAAAGGTCTGCTGAATGTTTTAGTTCTTCAGCTTCTCCTTCTCCAGCTCTGCTCTTCCTTGGACACCATAAAATTTGATCAACGCATCCGAGAAGGTGATTTCTTGGAGTCCAAGAATAAGACCTTTGTCCTGGGATTCTTTAGGCCCAAAATGTCAAACAACAGCTATGTCGGAATTTGGTACAAGTTCTCGGAAGGCATGGTTGTGTGGGTAGCCAACAGAGATAATCCAATCAATGGCAGCTCAGGAGTTCTTTCAATAGGTTCTGATGGAAACCTAGCGCTGCAAGCCGATACTAGCGAAGGCCTTATTCCTCTGTGGTCAACAAATGTTTCGATATCATCAGCAAGCAACGATAATATTTTTGCGCAAATTCTTGATTCAGGAAACCTTGTTTTGGCTCAACAAGGCAGCCGGCATGTTTTTTGGCAGAGCACTGATCACCCTACAAATATTCTTCTTCCGAATACAAAAATGGGGTTGGACAGAAGAAGTGGCATAAACCGGTTCCTCACGAGTTGGAACTCGGAAAATGATCCTGGGACAGGGAATGTTTCATTGAGAATTGACCCGTATGGATCGCCTCAGTTGATCTTGTACAAGAATGAGGCTAAATTGTGGAGGTCAGGACAGTGGAACGGGATTCAATGGAGTGGGATACCTGACGTGCCGAAGGATGTGTTTAAGATCAATTTTGTAAACAACAAAGATGAAATACTTCGCAGTGGACTGATCTCGACCCTTCAATTTACTCAGTGTACACAGTAGACTATTCGGGAACACTCAACCTCCGAGCATGGCAGAGGCAGCAGCACCAGTGGGTTGTGCTTTGGTCGTCGCAATCTTATGATCACTGTAACAGCTATGGCAAGTGTGGTAAATTTGGCAATTGCAATCATACTGAAAGTGGATTCAACTGCACATGCTACCCCGGATATGAACCAATATCACCGCAGGATTGGGATTCGAAAGATGGGAGAGGTGGGTGCAAGAGGCAGCAGGGTTCGCGGTCCATGTGCAGGAGTGGCGAGGGGTTTGTGAAGATGAAAAATGTAGAGGTTCCAGACACTTCCTCCATAAAATTGGAGAAGAATTTGAGCTTGGAAGCGTGCGAGGAGGAGTGCTTGAAGAACTGCACGTGCTTGGCGTACGCGATTGAAGATGTGACGAATGGAGGGACTGGATGCATGACATGGTATAGAGATTTGATGGATACTAAGCAGTTCACAGTAGGCGGGCAAGATTTGTACGTTCGTGCAGATGCAGTAGTTTTAGGTACCTTATTTTCTAAGAAATTGCCTCAACTACATGCTTCAACTTCATACCATTCATGCCACTGTTGCATAAATTTTTCTTTTTTTTTTTTAATTTCAGCTCAGTATAAAAACAAGTCAGTAGGAGGGTATTTTTCTGGGAAAAGGCGACTGGCTATTATATTGGTAGTGTCAATTTCTGTCGCCTCAATGCTCATCCTCGCAGTTCTATGTTGGTTCAGGAAAAGGAGCGTGAAAGGTATACGAAAAGTTTCCTCTTCTTTCGTCTTAAATTTGTTTTGCAGCTTTATTTCGGCTCAAGTTTCATTTTCTTTCATCTTGGAAATTATAGCCTGAAATTTCAATGGAACTGAAACAGGGAGAGGAGGACAACCCAAATTTCTGAATGATCCCACTACTTCTGGTGTACGAAACTATGAAGATTCGCCAATAAAATATGAGGTTGATGAACACAGAGGAGAAACAGATTTACCTTTTTTCGATTTAACCACCGTGGTTGCAGCCACAGAAAACTTCTCTTCTGCTAACATGCTTGGACATGGAGGCTTCGGCACGGTATATAAGGTAATATCCCTGGAACATTTTGAGTATCTCAGCATTGTGTGGCTTCGGCATCTGTGTTATTAAGATTTTCGAGTCTGGACCATGATTTCAGGGATGTCTAGCTGAAGGACAGGAAATAGCTGTTAAAAGATTATCGAGAAATTCAGGACAAGGCATAGACGAATTCAAGAACGAAGTAATGCTTATTGCAAAGCTTCAGCATAGAAATCTTGTGAGGCTTTTGGGTTGCTGCATACATAAAGAAGAGAGGATGCTAATCTACGAATACATGCCGAATCGCAGCTTGGACTTATGCCTTTTCGGTATGCAATCTATGAATACATGCTGAAATTAAGAAATCCTAAACTTGTAGCTAATAGAAGCTTTTATGTGTTGTGTTCAGATAAAAACAGAAAGTCGTTGTTAGATTGGAGAAAAAGATTTCAAATTATCATTGGGATTGCTCGAGGCGTCCTATATCTTCATCAAGATTCGAGACTAAAAATAATCCACAGGGATTTGAAAGCGAGCAATGTTTTACTGGATGGTTCATTGAACCCAAAAATATCAGATTTTGGCATAGCAAGGATGTTCGGGGATGATCAAATTGAAGCAAACACGAATAAAATTGTTGGCACCTAGTAATTGTCTTCTCTCCCTCGAAAAAAAAAATTCCAGTAGAACCGATTTTTTTTTTTTACTGATATTGTGTTATTGCATGCAGCGGTTATATGTCACCAGAGTATGCTATGGATGGGTTATATTCCACAAAATCTGATGTGTTTAGCTTTGGAGTCTTGGCACTAGAGATCATTAGTGGAAGGAAGAACAGCTTCCAATTTGAAAACTCACCTCTGAATTTGGTTGGAATAGTAAGTAAACAAATAATTTTTTAGACGGTGAATCTAACTATCGAGTAGTCCAATTATCTAAAGATTGTGCTCAAAATTGTTTCAGATATGGGACTTGTGGACAGAAGGAAAAGTCTTGGACATAATTGATTCATCACTGAACCAGTCGTATTCGATTTCTGAAGTTATGAGATACATTCAGATTGGGCTTTTGTGCGTCCAAGAATACCCAACAGATCGGCCAACCATGCTAGATGTTTTGTTCATGTTGGGGAATGAAACGACTCTTCCACATCCGAAAAAGGCAGCGTTTAGCATGAAAAACAGTGGTCCAGATTCTTCAACGTCTAAAGGAGCTTCTTCTGTAAATGATGTAACAGTAACAATTATTGAAGCTCGTTGAGTTTGCACTTTTCTGGCTCTTATAGAGATTTTGCATTACTTCTCAAGTATTTGTACTCAAATCGAAATTCCTTGTGGAGAGAAAAGGCAATGCCTTTGAAATTGTCGATTCATCTCTGGGCGAATCGTACCCTGTCAACAAAGTTGTGAGATGCATCTAAATTGCCCTCTTATGTGTGCAAGAGTATGTTGGATATTAGACTTTAATCCAACGGCTAATAGGTCACTACAGTTAATAAGGATTGTTATGGAATGTAAGTAGGATTAGGGTTTAGTTATAAGCTATAACTTGCGCTCCTTGAAAAGATAATATTCTGGTTATTCTTGGAGAATAAGAGCTCCTGATATTATCCTTTTTTGTTTCAGATTTGGTAGATTATTTCCTCGTACAAAAAGGAATCCTACTGACATCATTATGGGAGGATGAATTAGGTTGTTGTTGTTTTTTTTGAACAAACGCTATTATCTACACTAAGATGGTGGGGAGTAGGATAAGCCTCACAATGGGGTTCAAATTCGCCTTTGGCACGAATCGAACCTAAACCTCTCACTTACCAGTGAAGAATAATATCATTAGACTGCAGTACTAAGTGGCAGGAGGATGCATTAGGATTGAGTTAGTATAAATACTAAACATAAGTCCCTGCACATACCACTAAATCACAACCCAAAAGAATTCCCCATAGGTGAGTGTGCAGAAGTCCTTGCTTGTGTTCTTAGTGTGCACGTGTGCTTGCTACAATTTGTGGCTTTCTGTGCTGTTGAGAATGGTTTCTCAAGGTTAGTGTTTCCATGGTGTTCTGATTCACATGAACATATTAGGTTTGAGTATGCCACTGAGCGGCTAACAATGTCGGCGGTTGTTTTCATGCTAGGTAATGAAGCAGCAGCTCCTTCACCAAAACAACCAGCATTTTTATTGGAGTTAAATATAACGGTGGAGACCCTTTACCACAGTATTGAAGGAGAAAATTCTGTAAGTGATGTGACATGTACTAGCGTAGAACCTCGCTAAAACTCCTAAGATATTCCGAAATGTTGCATGTTAAGCAACTATTGGCAGCTTGTAAAATGTTATTAACCACAAAAATTTTGCTTCAAATAAGTAGTTACCAATTTTCTTTCTAATGCATTGACATGTGGGGCATGTCAGAATTATTGGTCTCGATTGAAACGTAATTGAAGAGAAATTATACTAGTCTAGTTAGCTAATTCTATAAATTATGTGACAGGTACTATGGTGGGGGCTTAGCTAACAGAAAATTTGGCACAAAATCGAGCACAGTGACGTTTTATAATTCATACAATCGATTTCACTTAATGAGATAAGACTTTATTGTTGTTGTTGTTTATACTATAGTGGATGCTAGCTAACAGCCTTGGATTTGAAATGTAAATCCGTCCACCACATATGACACATTCACATTTATTAGAGTTTAAGAATGGAGAAGTTATCATACTAGTGGAGACCCATCAACCAATAATGAAGGAGCTTACTCTATAAATGACATAACCCATACAGAAGTAGAAGGTCGCTAAGGAGAGAACCAGACGTATACTCGGAAAGACCATCATTGAAACGAGAGTATGGTCATGTGATGAGTGAGATAATAATTTGCCTTTTAACTAGGGATCTAAGTTCTATATCTAGAACACTTATCATCTGTCTTGTTGTAAATACATGCTATAAATTGTGTGCCTTATAACTAGGGATCTAAGTTCTATATTTGCAATACTCATCATTTGTCTTGTTGTAAATGCAAAGATATAAATTATTTGCAACACTCGTCATCTATCACGCCCCGATCCGGACATGCATCCAGAATCGACACGTGACGTTACCAATACCCGTATCTCTAACATGCCTCGCCTCCTAGACATGGGCAAAGCACAGCTCGAGATCCAACTGCGTAATAATTTTTCGTACACTTTATGGATGTATCTAACTTCGTTGTTAGACTGCCTACGTACCCTAAGCAGGGATCAAGCCATTCGTAGTTCGTCCTTCACTACACTCGAACAATCATCACATAAATCACTATGTCTCAACATAATACCACACAACCGGCAGGCAACATCACGAGGAACATTTGACGAAGTGCAACATAAATCTCTAGCCATATTGGTCAATGAGTCTAATCATAATGACAATGTTGGGTTTTACGGCTCAAAATTAGGATGATGCAAAAAATTATGTTTGTGTTACCTATTTGGTTTTGGTGTCCTATATTTGGGTTTGGATTTTGACTTCTTAGTTGGTTTCCTTGGTGGAGAGATTTTGTTAATTACCTATTTGATTAGGATTTGTATTTACTTCCTATTAGGATTCTTATTGTAACCTAAGTCCTATGCACTATAAATAGGACATTCGGGTTAGTGTGTTTTGTGTGGCTCATTCGTGTGGCAGTTCAAAACTGTTTGAGTGTAGAATCGGGCTGGAATTTTTTAAGCTCACTCTAGCTCGTCTTTCTTAAAAATCAAGTCAAGCTTAGCTCGCGAGCTCAAAAATAATTAAACAAGTCAAATTTGAGAACAATAGTGTTCGGTTCCGCTAGACTAATTTGCAGTCCTACATTTACTTATTTGTTGGGATTTGCTCGTTACTTCTTTTCTATAAAATTGTTTCTTGCAAGAGAAAAGCGTATAATGTTGACCAATCAATAGAATCATATGATTTTTCAAAATAAATAAGGCTCGTTTACAAGTTCTTTTAAAGTGTTTTTGGCGAAATTATTTTTGAATTCTAAAAGTGCTTCAAGTATATTCTGTAAGAAGCATCAGTTATGCGACTGATGCTTTTTGCAGGAAACATTTTAAGTGCTTATCTGAGATTCACTTGCATTTTGATTAAGGATTGGTTCCAAAACATTCTTATAAAAAATATTTTCAATTATTTTAAAATACTTCTAAATGAGCAATAAAAACACTAAAAATGAAAACAAAACTATGTAATAAGATGAGCATTTCGGTTAACACGTACACCAAATATTGTATTCAAAGGGTGGCATTGTTCTAGTTCCACATAATTTACTTGTCCACTTTGGTAACGTGAAGGAGAGGTATACCATGAATTTAAACTTTGACAAAAGAAAGCAAAAGAGTTAAATAAATTATTATAACACGAAGGAGGTTGAGAATTGTTTTTATCTACATGAGCTGAATACTGAAGTAAAATACCATGAACTAACTAAAATTGACCGTCACCAAGTTGGTTTGGTGACATTTTTCTCATTAATTTGGGAAGATGGTACTAAATTCATATCTTCTATCTCGTTGATCAAAAGAGAAAAGTTATGAGGCACTTTTGTAAGAACTTTTAAAATTACTGAAAAATGGTTTTTATAAAAATATTTTTGGAACCAATATTTGTAAAAATGCAAATAAATTCTGAAATAGTACTTAAAGTGTCTCCTATAAGAATTACTAGTTATGTGGTGCTTCTGTAGGAAACACTTCAAGTGCTTTTCAACCCGTAATTTTTTTCTAAAAATGTTTTTGTCATTTTAAAATGTATTTCCAAACGAGCTCATAGTTGATTATAACATAAATATAAATATATTCTTAAATTAATGTATGATCATTATCTTCTATTCATATAAAACACACATAGAGTAAGGTAGCTAGCCACGATATACACAGTTGAATGATCCATTTCCAGTGGGACCATTCTTAGTTCCATGGGTCGATTTTAGTCGTTTCTCTTTGATGTATATTTAAATATACAATCAAGCTATTTAGACACACAAATTTAATTTACTTAGTGAAATACTCTTTAATATATGACGGTTTCTTCATATTAGAACTCACATATAACGTGTCAGTTTTCTGCATCCAAATAGTAATATGTATTAAAACATATTTTCCAGCCCCGACATAAGGTCCTATCCAATAGTAATGTTTAAACTAAAGATGAACAATTCCTCTTTAACAATAAACAGATAAAGTTTTTTTTTTCTTTTTTTAAACGATAAATCGATAAATTGAACAATCTGTCCTTATTGCCATCTATGAAATCTTGATCAAAATTAGGCTTTTATCTTATGTGTCTTTTATACAAGTCACATCATCCACCGTTTTTGTGCGTTAAAATATTCAAAGGCTGAGTGTCGTCACGAGATTTAATTATGCATGCACATCATTTTCCTCATGAAGTTTTTTTTTTTTTTAACAAGAAATGATAGCAATTTTCTATTAGTGAACAGTAGCAATTACTAGGTTACCCCATGGAAACAATTTCTAGTGACTAAATACATGATCTGGATGTAATTCGCACAAACGAGCAATAAAAATAATCCTTCATTGGCTACCACAAGCGTGCGCACACTAATACAAGCATTCTCAGTACAAATCTGCCACAAAGATGACAAGCATAACAGACTTATACCAACTCACCCGTAAAGTCACGGCCCTACAAACGAGACCACATCAATTATCGCTAACAAACAAAGCCAAATCAAAACTACCGATCACGCGCTGGTCCACATTAGTCACTAGGCCTCATCTTTCTCTAGGCCACATCAAAGATTCAAAACCACCCCTAATGAAGTTTATAAACTTATCAATTAAATGTCTTTATTAAATCTTTTGACAACAAAAAAGAAAGTATCATAATTAAGAAATTGATTTAATAACGGTGAGAGGCAGACCTTGCGTAGTTGCATTATAAATATGGAAGAAAACATTCGACGATAATCCTAACGACTAAAAAATTAAGCACGGATTGCGTCTCATTCAACCTAGAAAATAATAAACTATGCTCTTTTGTCAACCGTGACGATATAACCAAGTTATTAATCACGCTTGAATCAGAGTGTACACATTTCATGATGCTTGTGTTGATATCGTTTGTGTTTTCAAAACAAATTTGGACGGAGAACTTAAGGTCCATCGAATCACGTTTACTTGGAATGATTTGATCAAAGTTTAGCAGAGTTTGAGATTTTTTAACTACGTGATAAGTTAGTCTTACAATGTTTCACCTCTAATTAGTATAAAATTTCTCAAATCGACTCGCACATTATATGAAGATGAAAGTGATATATTCATATACTTATTTTTACTTCTCACACATATTTGTTAATTTTTTGTCATTAATCTTCTTTAATTCATTCAATTCAAAGCTAAAAATTAAAAAAAATATATACGAGAAATAAAAAAGAGCTATCATATTTATATTACTAGGTCGAGGATCATTGTGTCCCAAAATCCTTCCCCAACTTGGTTAGAAGACTTGTCAAACTTAATGTGAGATTTGTGCTTTCAAAAAATTTCAATGTGACTTCAATTTGTGATCGGAAGAAAGTTTTTTTTAAGTTTTTTTTAAGTGTCACTTCAATTACATAATAACATA